CAGCCGGCAAATCGCACTCTCGCCTGCATTTCGCGCACTCGACACGCACGATCTCCGCAGAGGGTTGCGCGCACAGCCGGGAAATCGCACTCTCGCCTGCATTTCGCGCACTCGACACGCACGATCTCCGCAGAGGGTTGCGCGCGGACCGGACAAATCGCACTCTCGCCTGCATTTCGCGCACTCCACACGCACGATCTCCGCAGAGGGTTGCACTTTCGGTTGACGCTGTTCGTCCCACACTCCGCCTTTAAGAGAGAATTTATAAAGTGGGGAAATGTTTTTTCATTAGGACATCTCCCGTGCTACTTTTCCATATTTTCCATACTCACACTTGCTTGCATACTCACACTTGCATATTTTGACCCTGGCATACTTCGCACTTGGATGCTTTCGCTCTTCCAGTGTGTGTGTGTGTGTGTCAGTGTGAGTGTCGAAGTGTAAGTGTGTCAGTGTGAGTGTCGAAGTGTAAGTGTCGAAGTGTCAGTGTTCAAAGGATTTTCCGGAAGAACCCTTCGCAATGCTTTCGGGAAAAAATGCATGCTGGTGCTGTGTGCTTTGTGGGGGCCGTTGAGGACAAGAGCTGTCCATATCCTAACTGGTTGTTACAATCATCAAAGTCTCCCTAGAATCAAGAAGCTTGAATGAGGAAGACAAGGTGAGATGAGGTGCAAAATCGAAGGATACAATTGAGAGAGTTGCAATGAACAAGTTTCACCAAGTGAACGGAAGCGGAAGCAAAAATTGGCCTCTTGTAAAGCTGATCCCAATCAGGGCCTTGGTGGATCTTGGATCAAAAAGTGGTGAGTTGAAAAGCTTGGGCTCAAACCCACAGCGTTGCCAGGCCTCTGTAGCAAGATTGCGCAAGTACCGATGGCCATTGCATGGCATTGCACTTGAAGTGGGAGCGCCTCCAATCTTCCTCTTGGGAAAATGTCGGTGCCTGGCCGAGAGTCCAAAGCCCGATGTTCTTTCAGTCCAGTTATGTGCAGCTCAGCTAAAAAAGCTAGAAACCAAAATGGTGCAACTTACAGTGCAACTCACACCTTTGGCTCGTCCAGGCCATCGAAGAGACTTTCCCACTCCGGCCTGAGCGTTCCCAATTGTGTGATGCGTTTTAACAGCCGAAGATGTACAGTAAACGAATAATATTCAATTCAATCGGTGGAGTCCCTCAATCCCTCCAAGCCTTGCGGCACTTGGCTCAATGCCTCGTCTTCAGACTTTTTAAATTCAACAAATGTGAATAGCAATGGCCTCCAATCTATATAGTAGCAAAAGGAATCTCCAACCTAACAGCGATGGCCTCCATCCTAATAGCAATGGCCTCCAACCTATCAGCGGCACTTAGCTGGTGGTCCCTTTTTGACATCAATCACTCCATCCCTTCGAGCGTGTGGTCCAGCAGTCGGCCACTCGCTACTTATCACAAGCACTATCTGATTGGCAGCGACTGAAGTCTAATGATTTATCAGGTTTTCTCTCTAACTGAAGACCTTGCTAGGCGCCTCCAAGGTAGCCATCCTCAAGCTCGCCCTGGAAATCACCAAATCTGGAAGGTACATGGTGGTCTAAGGCCAGCTAGGAGTTTGGCGCTTTTCTCACGAGCCCCTGTAGTCTTTCCTGCAGCTCACGTCCATTTTCCCGCATGCTTTCAAGAAACATCAGGAAACTAAGAAGCACACCAGGAGCTGCAGACAAACGCCTGAGCTGCAACAAAGTGGAGAGCGGAATCGTGGAAAGCCACTAAACTCGGTAACCTAGCCAGACCTAGTCTCACCTACAAGTATGACCTATGGCCTCTACTATGCCCCTTTTCAACTTTTCCGAGTTCGAAGCCCGTAGTCTGCAGAGCTGGGAACCGATTCAAGACCATCAGGACCAAGGACTTTCTGCCTTGGCTGCCCACCGGAGAGGAAACAAGCTATGCTTTTCTACTGATACATAAGCACACCATACATTGACATACATCCAATATCATCCAATGATCACCATGATGCATCCCATGTTCCAAGATGCGTACAAAGTACTGGTCATTGAATAAGATCGTGGTTCAGAGTTGTCACCACCTGGCCTGCGATGCCAGCAAAGAATCGCCAAACACCACAATGCTGGTTGTTTGAAGCTGATGAACAGTTAAACTGAATCAAACTGAGCAGTTCCTTCATGTCCCTTACTCAATGTCATCTTGGAAAACAGACTGAATGTGTCAACTGGCAGAATCCCAAAGTCTTGCGGCCCCAAAAAAAGTGAAAAAGAACGCAAAAACATCTTCAATGCATGGAACGTCTTCAATTCACCCAACGGACATTCGTTTCGTCGTTTCGTACATGACACGCAGGAAGCAAAACGATGAGGCAAAGAATATTACCGTGTATATCAATATTCAATATGTCCATGCGTATAATATCCCAAGAATGTACAATGAAAAAGTTAAGAATACGCAGACCAGACGTCGCCGCGGCGCCGTTGGACAGCAGCCAATATGTATGAAGAATATTGAAGAATGCGATAGAAGAAACCCAGCAAGATTTGACTCCGGATGCTTTGGTGCAAAAGCTTCTCAGTGTCATGTTCATGTTGTACGACTCATGCTCACAATCTTTCGTTAAAAGGGGTCCGTCTCAATGTATGGGGAGCATTCTCCTTTGTGCTCGGTGAACAGTTTATTGCTTACTGAGGACTTGCCTTCAAGTGCTGGAATCGTCATCGCTTGATGAAAAGCCAACAACAGTGTGTATGACTCTGTATGTTCCCGCCTGTCTCCAGCCAGGGACGGCAGGATAGAGGTTCCTGTGTACGTCTCTGATCGTCCGGTCTTTCTGATTTAAGGACTGTCATCTTCCAAGACTTAAAAACAATAAGCTAGTAGAAACAAGTGCATCGCTTCTAGTAACAAGTGCCTTACTAGCGGTAAAAAGAAGTTACACTTCCTGGCGGTGGCCGGAAGCGGCTCCCTGCCACTGCAGCTCCACCTGAATGCAGAAGGCATGGCACTTGGCCCTTTGGCCGGGCCTCTTTTAGTACCGGAAGGTCTTCTGGGCCAAGCACCATCTGGAACAACAATATTCCCGCCAGTTGCAGCCTCAGGAGGACAGGAACCTGCTTTCGCTTCTTTAAGCTTCTTTGAGGCTCTAAGCCAAAAGCACTGGCAAACCTTAGCCATGCTTTTGCAAAAACAATACAAGCGAAACAGGGCTAGGGTGCAATTTTGTTGAGGCACGTATCTGGCGTGCTGCTCTTGCCTCAAAAAAGCTCAGAAACATGGAAGTGATTTAAAACTTGCTCAATTAGTGTGTTTAAAGTAATTACATATGTTCAGACTTCTATGAAGGTTGAATCCTCCACACCTCTTCCTTGTTTTCTGTGTTGTTCTCTCCTCTCTCGTGTCTCTCTGATCCCATTTTGTCTTCGTCTCTGTATGGAGCAAACCCGCTGGGCAAATCTAAACGAGTATAGCATTGTATAGCTGCGTGATGTTCATGTTGCATTGCACATTCATATCATAGACCCGAACCCAGCATTATGTTCCCGGCCTTTCACTGTTGGCCTCCACCCAGGGGGTGGAGCTCCAGATCCGCGGGCCATACTATAAAATATGGTGCCTCTTCATGATCTTTCAAGCGTGAGTGTCACCTGGTTTCACCTCCATGTTATCTGCCTGCGTGGCTCCTGTTGATCCAACTCCAATATGCCTCCTGTTGATCCACTGGATTTGATCCTTGTTCTTCATGTCCCGCCAATGGCAGCCAATCAAGGGTAAAATACTACCAGCTGAGCTCGGCGAAGGCGCCGAAGGGACGTCTTGTCAGCCCCGGTCGGGTCTTCTTCGTCTGTTCGTTCTTGTAAGGAGCCAGGAACATAGGGTAGCAAAGGAGAAGACCTAAGGTTATCGAGTAAGACTATGGAAGTCTGTGTTCTTGTAAAGGAGCATAAAAAGGCAATGTTCTTGTAGGTAGGGGGGAAAGGAAAGTCTCATGCTGAGGCATTGAGGCTGACTTCCCTGTCGGATCTTTGTCTGTTTGGCAGCTCGGAGCTCTTTTGTTTCGCAGCTTTTGACTTGGATCACTCAGGCTTCCTCATCCTGGATACCCAGCTCCAAGAGGAACAAACAGCATCAAATAATGGAATACATTGCAGCGTCTATGAAGACAAATAAAGCACGCCATAGTAAAGAAAGTGGTACCTAGCCTCGTCCGCTCTCACAATCCTTCCACTCTCCAGCATCTTCACGGCGGTTTCTGGTTGATCAGTGCCAACCTGACACATCAATATGGCCTTGTTGCTCAATGTTGCTGAACAGCTTCCAATGCTCTTCTCCCTCACTCATCTAGCTCATTTCATCTCATCTGCACCAATCTAAGCCACAAAAAGTGCAGCAACTGGGCGCTCGGCCTTGAACTCATTGGTGCTGAGCCAACGAGCATCGATGGGCAGGCTGCCAACATCCGATAGTCGAATGCACCTGGTTGCTCCAGCCCAAGTCCAATATTAATGAACTTGCTGCCCCCTCCTACTTGCTAGTCACTCTTTGTCACAAGGCCACGGTGCCGGTGCAGGAGGTCCTACTTACAGTTTGAGTAGAATACTCAAGGCGCTCAAGACCAAACCAGCAACAATCGATTCACACTCCCCTGAGCATCCCTGCGCTCTCTCCCTCTGCCCCTCTCTCTCTCTCTCTCTCTCTCTCTCTCTCTCTTGGAGGCCTTCCGCCATTCATTTCGATCTTCTCGCGAGCTGCTGGCTCAAACGCATGTGCGTAGACCTGGCAAGCGTCACGCTTCCCCACATGTCGGACATCAAAATGATTCATCGTATGAGAAAGCTTAACAAGCTTAGTACCAAAGAATGTGTGCCCAACTGCTCTCATAGCTCCGGGTTGGGTATCTGGCTGTCAAGTTCTTCGCTGTCAACTCCTGGTCTTTGGCGTTGTCAAACCGATGGCAGTGGGAAACAGTGGGAAATGATGGGAAATTTAGGATATGTCTGCATGCCATCTGCATCTCCCTATTGAACAAAGGTCAAGTGTCCTCCGCGTCTGTGGCCTTGACTTTGACCTTGGCAAGTGACACTCCTGCTGCAAATGGTCAAGTAATTAGTGACTGGCTTGACATTCCAAAGATTAGCTCCCTGCCCTGTCAAACTTCTTACGAGGAGGTACCGGAAAGCCACGAACGAAGAGGTCCATGTAATCAACCTTCGGTCTCAAACTACACGAACCGGTTGGTACATGTTGATACAATCTACAGTACATTAATGTACATTAATGGGTGAAACCCCCGCCACGACACAACAGACATGCTGCTGGCAGCTGTTTTAACCACCCAGATTGTCAGATGCGAAGCTCTTTTGCCGGAGCAATCTTTGAACATCTTTGAATACTGTCCCATGTGTTATGTGGCCTTTGCATGTCGAACTCAACCTGAAACACTCTGTAGATCATTTGACATGGTTCAACGTGATTCTGAACCTGGTGAAGCTGGTTTTGCAACCTCTTCTTCACAGGGAGTTCAAAAAGGCATGAGCAATCCTCGAGACTGCAGTTGTTTCTTAAAGTATCTTAAAGTGTCAAGTGCCAAAAGAGCGAGAAAAAAAACCTGCACCTCGGACCGCCACAAAAAGAGCTGGTGGTCAGGCTGCTTGAGACTTCCGCAAAACAGCGTCTTTGCTTCCGGCTCAATGCTGCGGATCGCAGGTAAGCAAAACATATGAATCCTGCCTCGTCTCCATCTTCACACAGGTTCAGCACCTTGTTGGCATGAAACCATGTGTTTAGCATAGTTTTGCAGGGCAATTTCCCTACTGCCAATGTACCTCTCCTGCGTTGCTTCGCAAACAACAAAGACGTGTCTGTCTGTGCTCCGGACTTGCACTGTGATTGGCGTATAAGGGTCTTGCTTCATGGAGTCGCGTTGCTGGCAGGAGGGATTCGAGAAAGGTCGTTGCAATTAATGCAATATGTGGCAAAGATATCCTGCTGAGAAACTTCACATCAACTTGGCCGTGGGACAGCTTGGGTCAACTTTGGCGTCTTGAGGTGCAAGGGCTTCTGATTGCCCTGGGAAATCTCCGATGCGTTGTCCATCCAGTGCACACACTCGGGATAAAGTAAGTACGGTCTGAGTTTGAATGCCACATGTCATGCGGTAGCCTAGCTTAGGTGAAAATGCCTTAATAAACCAAGGAAAATGCAAGCCGGTCTAATCATCAGCAAGTTTAAGTTCAACTTCACGAACTCCAAACTTCACAAGCCCTTGAAGCTTCAGTGTAAAGGGTGCCCCCTCAACCCCCCTTGCAATCGGTTTAATTGATTCTGAGGGGTGTGAGGCAGGTTGCTGATAATGATTCTGACCGTCGTCCACGGTCAGAACATATAGTTACTTTCTAGTTTTTCAGTGGCGCCCTAGGGTTTTTTCCCAAGAGGTGCTTGTTATATATAAAATCCTTTGGACCAACGTGCGTCAAGGGGTTGGGAACCAAGGAAAAAACAAGGAGTCCGGGCTGATCAAATGCTTAATTAAATCCTGGGTATCTACCTTAGCTGGTCCCTCCAGTGCCCTCCCAAACGCACTCAAGCAGCGAGCATATTTATTGCATAAAACAAAACCCCCTACGTGACCGTTTAAAATTGTGCGCCGGGCTTCGGTACAAAGGTAAGAGAAAATCAAAATGACCGAAGACTCAAAATGTTCCCGAAGTCTTCCGGAAATTGGAGGTTTTGCAACGAAATTTCTTGAAAATTTGCAGGTTTCGTGCCTTCCGAAACCATTAAATTTTGGGAAAATTTTGAGCGACGTACCACTAGGCGATTCGGTGACGTACCATTAGGCAATTCGAAAACTGTCCACGAAAAGCGTCCTCTCCAGTATCTCTAAAATCCTAGCCCAACCCCAGTCTCTACACCTACAGCTTTAGTAAAATCCTGTAGTCTAACGTGTTTTTGGAATCCTGGCGCCTAACCTTGAGCAAAAGGATGTCAAAAAAGCCTCATTTCTGCTGTAATTTCCTGGGGCCCTACCTGATTTCCATTTTTTAGAGCTTTTCTGAACTTTTTTTGTTTCTGAAATCTGGTGGTCTACCCCTAGGATTTCAGTATGGCGCAACCAAGGGGGACCTTTATATAATTGAAAACCAATCAATGCAAACACAAGGTGGAAAAGCCAAAAGTCTCCCTATGATTCCAAGGGTTACACACACATACTATATAACAGACTGCAAACTATTACTGAATGCAATAGAACAATGAAAACACACACACAAGCAAACATAGCAATCAAACATGATCACGTCTTTAGAGTTACACAACTCAGCTGTATTATACATGTGTCATCATTTGTTTGCCTGTAAATTCATGCTGTAGATTCTGTGGAAATGGTTTTGGGCGCTATGTTGGTGGCTTTAGATCGAAAGAAAGTCGTGCTCACGGCCTCATAGCCAGGATTAATTGTTCGTCGTCCGCGCTTGTGAGCACCGTTCTTCGTGCAGCCGTGGCCTTAAACAAAGTGCTTTTGGCTCCAGCAAAGTTCCTCGAATTTCCTGCGAATACAAGGAACGTGCCACAGGTTCGACCATGATGCCCGTACTTTCCACGACCACGCTGAATCCTGCAAACACGAGAAAGAGTTGAAAACAAAAGCTGGAGCAGCTTTCAATTGGCCTTCAATCATCTTCAATCCACCAGTCATCCCCGTCCTTTTCTTCAAGGATCCAGGTGCATGAATCAAATTGTGGACACATAGTTCGAACTCATCGACGTCATGACCTTATGTTCGCCGCCCATTGGGCGATTTCAGGACCTGATACCCAACGATCACCTTTTTCGCGTCTGTCAATGCATCCAGTCTTTGGGTCCCTTGCGGAAAAGCTCTTCACCCCGGCGCCTGGTTCGTCACGAAATTTGCACTAGGAACCACAAGCTACTAGTAGCTATTTGTTACTAGTAGCGATGCCCAGGTTCCTAGTAGCTTCTTGCTCCTAGTAGTAAGGCCAGGAGCCCCTAGTAGCTTCTTGTTACTACCTTTTCGTTCTTTGTTCGTACATTTGAGATCGCTTAAGTCCGTTCCCTGACATAACAAAGCGTGTATGCAATATATATAGCGTGTATGCAATATTATATATTGCACACACATGATATTGCAACTAAGCTCATGTATATATAATTATATAAATGCATTATATAAATAATATGCAAAAAAAAAATTAGATGTTTACTGCAAAAGCATGCAAAGGCCTGTGATTCAACTTCACAAGACTGCATCGTCCTGCCTCGACTCTCGGCGCCTACTCTCGAAAATACGGGCTCCACCTCTTTTCGGTCCATCAAACCCGTTGTTGCGGATCCACCAAACTTGTGCCTGGGAAGAAGACGTTCACTTTTTCGACAAGAACATGAAAACGCTCCTATGCCCCTGTATATGGCCCCGCCTTCATGCCCATGCTTGCCACACCTGAGGCCAAAAGCAAAGAACATGGAAACAATTGGAAACATGTGCCAAAAAAAGATAAAAAAAGTGGTGTCCCAATTCGACGTACCCATCGACCTGAAGCAACTGGTTGCGGTTGTGGAGTCACCTGCGACAGACATGTGAGATGGAGTCACCTGCCTGACTGGGGTGGCAATCATGGGGTTTTGCATGGCCTCGTAGGCTGATGGCGAGAGGATGTAGGAAGAAGCACATGATGTGCCCATGAAGCCACCTCAAGGAAGCATGCAAGCATGGCTGCATGGCTGGAGCTTTGCAAAGTCTTGTCGAAAAAGCCTTTGCATGTCAAATGTCCATGTTCTTCACTTTGCGCTTTGACAAGACCAGGTTCACATAAGTTCAGCACTGCTGCTGCTGGAGAAAGCATTGCCTGCGTGAAGTCATTACAATCCCACTTCGGTTGTTCCATGCACAGCCTGAAGCAGTATGAAGCAATCAGTTCCTGTTGACCAATCTTGTCTTTCTCATTTCCCCTCTAAGGATGGTGCACTCCACTCCTCGTTTTCGGCGCATGCTGCGGACCGCAAGGCCACTGGCAGCGAGCAACCCGAAGACCTTGTGAAAGACATGTCAGGAGCCCCCAGTAGCGTCTTTGCTCCTACTTGGGACATGTCTTGCTCCGAGGTCCCAACTACTCCGCACATCGAGCCACCAGCGCTGAGGCCATTACCTGGGTAGAAGCGTGTTAAAACCTCGCAGCTGCTTGGCAAATCATGGCTGCATTGCCGCCTGCTGCATGTGCAGCACTTCCAGCCCCAACCTCACTAAGACTCGAGCGGTGTTGACTTGAGATGGCGAAGAGAATAATCGCAGAAGTTTCTCAATCCAAACAAATAAGTGTTCGGCTGGCTCGGAGATTCGTGGTGGCGAGAGTGTCTGATCAAGCAAGGTGTTGTAAAAGCATAGCCACTGACACATTCATATGTTTGACTTCCAAACTATGAAGTGCCCATCCTGTTGGGAAGCTAAATTTATTTACAGTATTAGGAAAGGGACAAAAAAGGTCTAAAGATCGCAAGAAAACAACCAAGAATTGGCAGCTTTGTCTGGCAGCCCTAGCCCAGACCTGGCCTTAGGTACTTGACCAACCGTAAAGGCCGAAAGTGATCTTGCTGCGAAGAGGGCGGCACAAACCACGCAGGCCACCTAGCAATCACACTCGGAAAGCTCAAAAAGGTATTGGAGCTCACTGGGCGCCTTCAATGCCATGATCTCAACCTGATCAAGCTGACGTTCGTGAATCAAAGCCAGCTTTCGTGAAAACCATCAAAGGCATTCACAAGCCAGAACATAAGACCTGAAGCAGCCTGAAGCATTCTAAAGTGTCCTGAAGACCCGTTCTATGCTCATTATCTTCTACAAAGTTGGCGGCCTAAAGGGGCAGGCGGCTCCTGCACCGCTCTGGCCACTTGAACCAAGTGTTCGAGCCAACAACCGCGCCGCAGTGTCTTGTTCTTGCGCTGCACGGCCTGCTGCATGACTGTCTTGCACTCAATTCTGGAAGGATAAGCCGAATTCTCTATCTGAGTTAGAAAGTCCATGAAAGTCCAAACCCATCAAACAAACTTGATACACATATCTTTTGTTGCGCTCTCTTTGAAGCGTGTGACAGCCAGCCAAACAACTGAATGTCCTATGATTCTAACATGGTCCCTGCTTTGCAAGTCCATGATACCAAGATTGTGTGGATCAGTACGCATTCAGCAGCACGATCCTGAGCGACAGTTAGGGGAACATGGGAACAGCCGAGCTAAGCCTTTAAATGCCTTGGTGTCCGGCCTGCTCCCACCGTTTAAGCGTGCTTGATTTCCAAGCATGGACCCCTTGCGGCACGAAGCTTGAACAGGCAAACAGTGCCAGGAGCACCTAACCTAATAGCTTCTTGTTCCTAGTAGTAAGGCACTTGTTACTAGTAGCTTATTGTTTCTAATGCTGGGAAAACGGAATGACACCAATGTGCATGTAGTGGTGCGCTGGCCTTCCGCCGCCCACCAATCAAACCCATCAGCTCCTGCGTGAGGTATCGCTATGTGTCCCTAGTGTCACTCACTGTGTAGTCTCGCGACTCGGTTGCCACCCCAACTAGTAATAACTGGATCGCTTGTAGTAACAAGTGCATTACTACTAGTAGCAAATAGCTACTAGTAGAGTAAAGCCGCACAAGTCCTGAGATCCTGCAGTCCCAAGCAAGTTGTAGCAAATGTCAAGGTGCTTCATGCCTCCGTAAAACTGTTTGTGACACGGCGCATCCTCAAGCTCTGGTTACCGTCTGATATGGCCAAAGAAACGCAGGGCACGTTTGATTCGTTTGAGTCTCATGGTTGCTCGATTTGGTTCTGAGATTTTGGCTTACACTTTCACGATGAAGGGTTATGTCCAGCACCTAGCAGCAGTCGCAAAACTCACCATCAGCGCCCCCATGTCCTGAAACGAACATATATACCATTATATCGTTGATCTACTAGCTGCTGAGCCTCTCCAACAGTCAATTCCAAAATCATGTCTTCCGGTTCCGTCTTGCCATTCACCTCTGAGATCCTTCCGGTCACAAAAACGAACTTACAACAAACACAAAGGACAATATTAGGACATCAAAAGACTCTAGGAAGTCGTGCTTGATCTTTCGACGACTACGCGTAGAAAGGTGTATCTTTCTAGCTCCTGTCGCCGACGAAGACTGCTTCGCTTGGATTCTTCTCGTTGTGCCGCTCAACCCAGCCCTTAGAGAGTTGGCTCATACTGAGAATCGTTTACCATGCGAGCTTAGAGCAAGACCATGAACTCCAAACCTGTCACCTGCGTGGCATGTGCACGAAGTCACAAAGTCTGCTTCTTCAGAAAGCGCTGTAAAGGTCTGCACCTCTTCCCTGGAAATGACTAGAGTTCTTCTTTGAGAAACACATTGTGTACGTCTTCACTTTGCATCTTCAATATATCTCTGGGAGACACCTTCGACAGAGTTGTTTATGTTTGGGAAGTCAACTATAGGCTACCGTTGGACAGGCTCGCATGTGTGCAAAAGGGAGAATCGCTCAAAACCTAATTGAAAACCAAAAGAAATCTGACAGTCTCTGTCTCTGACGGTCTTGCAATCAGTACATCCCAATTGCTGGTCTTTCTGGGCTGCCAGCTGTCATGCCATCTAAAACAAAACCGTGCTTGGTCCCAGGAAGCCTGTGGCATCATACAGCATCATGGCAGTCTTCAGGATCAATTGGTAAGCGTATTTTACGTCCCACCTCTTGATTTGAATCTGCAACCTAGCATCGGTCCTTACAAAGTTTGTTCAGCAAAGCGACAACGTTGAACTCCAATACCAGACTGTTCATTGTTCAATCCAACTTAATTGACATAACTATTCAACATAGGTGACAGCGGCAAGTCAAATCAAGGCTCTCGAGAAATCTATCCAGTACGGCTCGAGCTCCAGCAACCTTGTGATGTTGGTCCAGCGAACAGGACACAGGAGAGTGGTGTCAAAGCCAAACATCAATAACATGGTCCATCTGTTGTTTGTCGATTGCTTGTGTTTCTTGAGCAGCAACATGGTGTTCTCTTTTTCATCAATCGTCAATGAGCTGTGTTTTTTGTCCAAATTAGGCAAGCTGGAGACTCGCAGGCGATTGTGCGAAATGTTCAGCTTCTGCAGTCTGCCCTGGAACCAAGAAACCAGCTCCGTGCGATGTACATGCACTAAATAAATGCCATGAAATAGTCCATGCCACTGAAAGGCTCGGGTTGTCCGGGATCCGGTTGTTAGTCCCTTTGTTGGTGGTCAACCAATCTGGGATTCGTCGGATTTCTTTTGATGCGGGAATGCAAAAGCCATTCACATTCCGAAAATAAGACTGCTCTATTTGAGTAGACTGTATCTGCATTGCTAAATGTTTTCTTCAGTGGAATTCAGTGGAAAGTGCACAGTAGATCTATCAGAATTAGAATCCTTTCTTGACATGATTTCCCATCGTGGCTGTCTGCTGGAAGAACTCTCACTTGGCACCCAAAGGGAGCAACCCTAATGTTGGCAGCACAAACGACCTTGCAAAATGATGTTGCTGGTGGCTAAGATCGTACAAGTAAGATCGTACAAGTACTGGGCCCAAAAGCTTGCAGTGGCGGCTATGATATGCAGAAACACGGCAGTGGATGCCATCGTCGTGCTGCGGTTCAGAATAGATTTCCTTGTATACCTTAATATGTGGCATTGAAGTTCCGTGTGTGTGTGTACATATATATATATTATATTGGAATCAAAGGTGGTCACCTATTGGTGTTAAAATGCAGGGGGCCATCCCTCTCACCATTGGTGGATGGCCAACAAAGAGGCCAATGGTGAGAGCTGTAAACGTAATTACCTGCATTTTCCGATTGAACACCGGCACTCGACATGAAACTACGGAAGCTGAGTCAACCTAATAGCGATGGCCTCCAACCTATCTCTCCCCGTTTTACTCAGGCAATCTTTTCACTTAGGCTGGCGGGTGGCAAACCGCAATCAGCTCTGTACGCATTTGCGGAGTGTGTTTTTGTGTGTTACAAAGGCACTAGACAAGTGCAATACCAAGCAAATGATAGGTCTTTGCATCTGTTACCACATGTCACCACTTAATGCAGGAGTTTGGTTCACTGGCGCTGCAATTGGTTGCGTACGTGTTCTGAAACAATGTCATGGAGAACCTGGAAGCGGAGTGTATCAGATCTTTCTAATGCCAGCTGCACTGGCTGTTTTGTTCTGGGGTGGCCTTGTGAACCAAGTAAGACAGGGAAAATGTCTGTATCGGTCCGTCGGTCCGTGTTGGTTTCTTCGCCATTGCCTTGTTGCCAATGAGACCATCTGCGATGTGCTCACCTCCGGCCTCCGGAGTTTCAAGTCTGGAATTCTTCGGAATTCTTGTAACTAAGTCTTTTCTTCACACTGACAATGAATACATGTCCATCATGTCCGTGAGGCCTGTTGCAGGTCGTTGTCAGAGATGTCCAGATCCTTGATTCTCAGCAAGAACTTGAGAGAAGGAACGTATGGAAACAACTACCAGCGAACCCATCGCTGAAGCACAGCTAACCTAACATTTGGTACCCCTCTGCACTTATAGGTTAGCAGGAAAAGGACATCAAAAAGGAAGGACAGGAAGTAGTGCGAATCACTGCTAATTTAGAAGTCATCAAGCTGTCGCGCACATATTTGGCCATTATGTTTAGATTTAAGAAGTGTAATGCCTGCAATATCCCTCACAAAGACGAGCAAGGTATTGGTGAGCTTGCCTCCAGCTTCAGGTTCGTTGCTAGCATCATGCCCAAGCGCCTCTACCACCCGGACGTTCACACAATTGTTCTGAAATGCAGATTGTGGATGAAATGCAAGAGGCATCCAAAGGCTCACTGGTGTAGAGGACGCTACTAGGAGCAAAGGGCATCGCTACTAGGAGCAGGGACGCTACTAGGGGCTCCTGGCCTTACTACTAGGAACAAGAACGCTACTAGGAGCTTTTTTGCAAAAACAGCTGTGACCAACAAGTCGTTCCTCGCACCCTCAGCGGTAATGTGGTTCCTCGGATAGGAACATGCGTCTTGCACTGTGACCTATATCCAATGTGTCCAAAGGTGCAAGAAATATCAAGAGAATCAAGTTAAGACCTGTCTAAGTGCAAGCAAGGGTCGTACTCAAACTCAACTTTTGCACTGCCACCACAGGCCTTTGACACCGACATTGAAGCCCAAAGCTTTTCAAAGCCATGAAAACACCTCTTCTCCAATATACAGCTGGACTACGCTCTTCCTTCCGGCCTCAGCCCCTCATCCACGCGCTCCAGCCTGCATTTGACCATGAGGAGTCCAGGAGAATACTCTTACTCTCATCCATGCTTTCTGAACAAGCATGCCAGGTTGACACAGAACAAAGAGGATCAAGCCTCATGCAAGTTCTTGCAACCCAATGCCAAGTGTGCCAAGCGTGGTCTTGTCATGGCTTGTCAAAAATGAACATTGGAGCCCAAGACCCTCTATCGCGAAGACCACAACCCCGCATCTCCAGAACTCTGAGTGACCTTCCAGCAACAACGAGCAATTTTAGAGAACGTTTTTGTCAGCATGTTTTCCCAGCCAGTGTGGTTTTGAGCGAAATCATCACTCTACTCTGCCTCGCATCATCCAAAGCTTCGCAAAAGTCTCCCCGTAGGCCATCTGGCCCAGCATCGTTGTCTTGGCATCATTGTGACATCAATTGCGAAGAGACCATTAACATCTCTTCACCTGTCTTTCTCTTTAAAAAAACCGGGAAAGAAGTCGTGGATGTCAGTCATAATATGATGTCCCTTTCCTTCGACGACTGAGTTTTCGACTGCTCACATCCAGGAACTGGCAAGAATGTTAAACTATAAGACATACAGTATATTAAAGTAGTATATTAAAGTTATATCTGGCAAATGTCTGGCATACTGTATATCAAAGTGCTATATGTGTGACTTTGGGGAACTGAATTTGCGGCCTCCAAGGATGCGCAACGAGTGAGCAACCGACCAACCTTCGACTCAGCAGGTCATGGATGACTTGAGTCTTGGCACTTGAGCATACTCGAGCCATGAACCTCCTTAAATCCCGCTGCACCAAACAAGCCCACTCTGCGAAGGCTCAACCTTCACAAAGGAAAACTGAAGGTTCGGAGGTGAAGCTACAAACAGCTACAAATACAAACTTAACAAGAATATACAAGAATGAGAAGAAATTGCATCAACTGCCTCTTTAGACTGCTTACCTCGGGTGTTCAAACATTACCATCCATTTCCTTCTGTGTGTCTATGCATGATCAAGTTGACAAAGCTGAGCATTCGGCCTTGTGAGCAAGACTCAGGCTAAGATTCTTGAAACCAGCATTGCCTATCAAGAATTTAGCTTGTTACTACTAGTAAGGCACTTGTTACTAGAAGCGATGCACTTGTTCCTAGTAGCTTTTTGTTTCTAATAACATTTGGAGAGCTTCATGTCATTTGGGTTCCAGAAAGATCCCATCAAGCGCATGCAGCGCGGTCCTAGTTCTTCTTGTGGAGTGGACCCTGCAAGATTGATGTCGGTCAGAATGCCATCTGTAGCAAACTCCACCAGATCATCTTGGGTGACCTCAATCTCATCCTGTCTCCGGTAAACAACCTGCCAAGTTGTTACCCGCCAAAACTGATGAAAAGACTGGACAGGCTTCAAAAATAACTACTTTTCAAACAAAAGTAGTTATCCGCTACGCCTCTTCTTCATCCCTCTCATCTTGTTGGCTCCTGTAGCTAGAGCGAGTGGTTGGGCGGGAGCCAAAGTCCTCAAACAAGCTCGGACATGCGAACATGGAAGGATCCAGGAAATGAAGAAGTAATAAAACGTAGATTATCTTGAACCTGTCCGTCTTTTTATGTATGTGTTTCTTCTATTTTTAGTCTTGTCTTCCTTCCGTGACGGACAACTCAGTATTTTGCCTCGCTCGGGAAGGTGTCCAAAGCAGCCAGACGCTTGCTGAGCCAAAATGATGCCATTTGAGCTCATCACTGGTCCAGTCAGTCCAATAAAAGCGCTTCGGGTTGCTGCGATGCTGCAAGTCACCAGAATCAGTGTGCTCTGCGAACTCTGCGGTAGCCCCTTTCTGCTTGTCATTTGTGCCTGAATTGTGGTTCACTGCCGTGTTTTCTTGAGCTTTCTCCGTCATTCTTTCGTTGTCAATGTCACGCAGATGCTTTCCTCGTTTCTACCCATCATTCAATGCATCTGATTATCCTGTCTATCCTGCTTGAGCCCCAAAGAATTTCCAGCTTTCAACTCTCAACACAAACATTTAAGTTGCCACAAACCGAAAACGTTCATTCTGCGTAATCTTACAGTAGCTGAGTAGCCTTCTTGAACTTTTCAACCTGCCCTGAGTCTCTGCTGCTTCCACGATCTCCCTCTTAGATCGTCCCAATGGAGTCTACAGCAGAAGGACCTTCTCCGAGTCAAGTGTCGTTTAGACCGTCTCCGCATAAATGGCATCTGCTTGAGTCAAAATGTCCCAAGGGACTGGAAAGAAAAGTTCGACCAAGGCATACTTAGAAGTATACTTCAAAATGCTGGATCCACCCAAAGTGAGCAAATGCCTGCACCACTTAGCAAGGTGCTATGAGGTGCCTGCGAGTCCCCTGCAGGCTACCAACTAACCCCTGAATTTCCAAGCCAAACTTGGTTGTATCAGTGCACATTTCTCTGAAGCTGTTCTACCAGTGATTCTCAAACGTCGTTGCTTGAAATGTCTGGCTTGACACTAATTTCAACTGCACTATTTTGGTCAAAGAAGCTTCTTTTCCCACTTTCAGTGGAGACCTGGCGAGCAGGCCACCGGTGCCAGAACACTGAACCTGGCTTTCGCATGTATCATGTATTTCATTGCGTTTTGCTGAATTGCCTAGACCTAGACAATTCCAGAAGTTTAAGCAGTGCAATCCCTCGAGGCGCCAGCGAGTGAAACATAGAGCCTCGACAAGTAAATCCTGATATCCAACAACCTTGACTTTTGACAAATCATGAAGAAGCTAAAGTCACCGGCCCCGCAGATGTATCACATTGCCATTCGCTGTACCTTGCAAATTCACGTAGTTCATTCAAGAATGGCCTCGGGGCTTCGGAGCACGGTCACCTTCAGAAGGAGCTTTGTGAGGCATTGATGCCGCATGGCTTCCAGCTCCTGAAGGAACCCAAAGGAGAGGAATGAGAAAAGGTGAAACAATGGTAACCACAAATGAGAAAAGGAAAGAAGGAAAAATCTAAGAGAGGTCTACAGCTCACAAGTTATTTGTGGTGCCTTCAAGGGTGGGGTGATCGCTGTGACCAGCCCTGCCCTGCTATGCCCAGCCTCCTGCCCATTGATCATGATGATTCCTAATGTTGTAGTGAAAATACTGTCGCTATCCGTGGTTCAGTTCTTCATGTCTTCTTGTCATGATTCTCAGAAGCAATCCAGCGAACCAAACCATCTGAAGGCTTCTTCTGGGTTCCCGGCTATCTCCAACACGGATTTCTCGCACTTCTCCAGGGCATTGCTTGTTCCAGGCTTCGATTGCACCTCCTGGCAATATCCTTTCCACAAGAAGGCCGTCATCACCTGGCAAGTTGCAGAAGCTGCGGAAACTTTACAGCCGGAAAATGATATGCAGTCAGTCGTCAGTCAATCAGTTCGTGGGATATTTAGCGGCTACTTATTATGGTATGCTATGGTCATATCATGTCATATCAATGCCCCTTGTTGGATTCATTGTTGAAACCTAGTGATGTCTCTCCTTCAGGGTTCGGCTACAGTAACCTATGGCCAAAAGCAAGCAAGATGCGATGCCTGGTACTTTTGGACCAAGCGCACCTTGAACATGAAGTCCAACGGGGACATTGTCCGCTCTTCGAAGCATCAACGAGAATGTAGTGGCCTGATCCATATCTTCCCTACAAAGAAAAGAAGAACGAAACAAAATAATTGAAAAAATAGAAGGAGGTAAGGGTCCTCTCTTTCTATCCTTTGGGAGCGGCTTTCAAATCTGTAGATGATTTAGTCAGACTCGGCAAAATGTGCATGATTTCACGGCAGAGTGCGACCTCAGGTGGAGTGTGTCCAGCTGCAGTGGGCCTTGAATGGCCAGTACTGAGTGTGGAACAATGTTGAAGTTGCAAAAGACACTCAACGCATCTCAATGCTTCAGAAACATTCAGAACCAACTGTAACAGACTGCAACGCAGAAGCTCGGACGATGGAGCAGATTCAGAGCCTAGGCAAAGAGCCAACTCATGGTTATGGTTCTTTAGACTTTATTGGAGGCCATCGCTAGTAGGTTGGAGGCCGCCGCTATTAGGGTGGAGGCCATCGTTACTCAGTGTGTCTTTGGACTTTCGAGGCAAAAAGCCAACTCATGGTCTGGTCTGGGAGGCTGCGGGAGCCAACACTGGAACGCTGGTGTGCTTTGTCAAGACACCGGTTCCTCCAGAGCCCGCAATGGAAGCCTGCAATGTGAGACAAAGCAGGATACAACACTGTTCAACATACTAGAAGCAAGTGGGGGCTTGGAGTTTTCAATCTCGCCGTGTTTTCTAACAAAACAATGTGTCGATGTGTCTCAACATATATAAGACCTTGCCTCAGCATGTTCCACACAGTTAGCAGGAACAGGCACACGAGCTGGCTCTTCCAGGTCCTATGGTGCCACGTGTGCGCGTATCATCAGAATCTACAACCCTGGGACGAACCCGAGCACTCGGGGATCGTCAAATTCTAAGTCCAGCCGAGCCCCCAGCTTCAAACTCCTCATGTTCTGTCTCATCCTGGGAGCAGCTTTGAGAGTTGATGACCGGAGTCTATAATGAAAATATGATTCATATGCCTGTATTTTTCTGTACACAGAGCCAGCCACAACCAGCCTTCTCTTCAAATTGCCATAGGTCCAAGGTGGGTTCGCAATGCCTAAGCAACTACTCGCATGCAATTTGCATTAAAGAACATCATTTTCCCTTCACAGCAACTCAGTCCTCTCTATGCTACTGCTTGCCTGAGCCCTGCACGGAACTCCGAACAGAATGGTCAAATGCTTCATCATTGCCTGCCGATTCAAACGGACCGGCAAACAAAAACATGTTATATAATATACATATATATACATTATATAACATACAAGCCGCTACGACACTTGCTATTATGCCTCCAGATTGGCACGCAAAATAACAGTTTCACGCTCAAGGTTTCGATGAGACCTTAGATTCTCTGTCAAAGTTACAAGCTCCATCCAAAAAATGACCATTCCATAGTTGTCCTAAGAAATTGGAAACTATGTCAATGACTCAGCGCAGGCTGCTAGCTGGCCTCGATTAGTGCAAGAGATTAAAGACTGTATACAGCAATTGGAAGTGCACTTGTGGCTGGGAGCAAGACTCCTCAGTTGCTCAGTGGTATCAGAATGCTGCTGCTGCATAGTCCTGGCATGGCTGAGCACTGATCAGTTAGAGCAACTAAAACTTGGTATAGAAAATACAAGAGTTCAATGGAAAGCTCATTAGACTTCAGCCGAGCTTGCAGGATTGCTTTCTGCCCCCGCTTCCAAAGAGTCTCCACCTTGGTGGTTTGGAGTGAGTGAGGCCTAGCATCAGCCTCGAATAACTTGAAAATGTTTTCACCGCTAAGGCCTTAGCCGCTTCTTGAGTTTTTTGGTTCACGTGCTCTTTGCACGCCTCTGTGACCTGCAACTATGAGGTGATCGTGCAAACCTCCGCATCCTCAGTGTTGATCCTGCTGTCCAGCAAACGGGTGAGCCTGCTTGATCAATGCAGCTTTGAGATCCTGCAAGAATCAGAATCATTGTGGAGAACCGTTGAACAACAGCAACAAATTATATATATATATATAAAAAGCCATCGTGCCTCGGCAAGGTCGTGGCCTTGATGCAGCAGCTTGCACAGCAAATCAAAGTTTCGCTTACAAGAGATCTTAGCAGGCCTTGAGCAGAACAAAGTGCTTGGCGGCAGCTTGCCTTGTACAGATTCTGACAGATGAGCTTGAGTGAAATTGGTAGGAACCAGTGCTGGGCAGGTCCACTAAGCGCCAACATGTACATAGTATGTATGTACCCACTCCGATCAGTCCTCCAATCCAGGTGGGGCTTGGACCTGAAGCTGACAATGCCCTGTAAAGCCTGTATAGAAATGGCCTCCACCTAACAGCAATGGCCTCCAACCTAATAGCGATGCCTCCAACCTAATAGCAATGGCCTCCAACCTAATAGCGATGCCTCCAACCTAATAGCAATGGCCTCCAACCTAATAGCAATGGCCTTCAACCTAATATCTATGGCGTTCAACCTGATAGCAAATAGCAATCGCCTCCAACCCAATAGCAATGGCCTCCAACCTAATATAGCAATGGCCTCCAACCTAATAGCGATGACCTCCACCCTAATAGCAATGGCCTCCAACCTAGTGGCGATGGCCTCCAACCTACTAGCGATGGCCTCCAACCTAATAGCCTCCAGCCTAGTAGCAATGGCCTCCAACCTAATTGCGATGGCCTCCAACCTAATATATAGCAATGGCCTCCAACCTAACAGGAATGGTGTCCAACCTACCAGCGATGGCCTCCAACCTAATTGCGATGGCCTCCAACCTTATGTACAGCAATGGCCTCCAACCTAACAA